CCCCCCCTCCCCAGATTGGACATGGCTGAGCCCATTTCTTTCACCACCTCGTGCTCCTCACACAAACCTCGCCGTGCCACCGAAATATACGGGCACCTCAAGCAGGTCATACCCTCCAGCTGTTTTTACCCTTTGATTTTGATTTGGACGCGAGAAATACCTAACGATCATATCTTAGTTGAACCAGCTCTCTGCTGCTGCGCGCAACCTTTTCAGCTCTTGTGAGCTAGCTTGACCTGGGCACTACGGTCTCCTTGGCCACGGTAGAGGTAAAACACCATAGAACGATTGCATGATGTGCGCGATTAGGGGCCTCCACTACAGCGATCCCAGTGGGCCTGCAAAAGTCGGCCCAAATTCAAGTTTAAACTCCAGCAGTCAGCAGGGAGGCTTGCAGGACGATCATGAGCCTACCTCCAAAAATGTCATGGCAATCAAAGTCATGGAAGCACGCAATTGACCTAGGACGCCTTTTGCCTGGTACCTAACCTTATCCAAACCTGCCATAAATTCGTATGTGTGCGTCTTTTCATGTGGGCAACGCATAGATGATGTGCACGATTTGGGATCAGGACTAGAGCGAGAGTTGTAGCAGAATAACTAAAAGTCCTTCCTCGCGGAGGGACTTCCTCGGGATGTGATTCCAGGATTAGTCATGTCCGACTAAAAAAAAAATGACAATTTTTCCACATAGGAGGCAAAACGTGTGCTTTGCACAATCCCCGTTGGCGGGTGGCGTTGCCGGCCGTCAAGTCGAGGTTGCATGGAGTTTTACAACCCCGTTCGCAAGGTTATAGGTTGCCGCCGCACCACCAAAGCTTACAACGTATACCAGTGGCCACCCGTGCGGGCGTGCTACAAAACTGGCGCGCTTGCATGTTGGACGGCCTGCGACATGGACCCCTCCGTGCGTCCTGGGCAGCCGCGCACGTGGCAACGGGCGCGCTTGCACGAAGGACGGAACGCGGTGCGGCCCATAAGTTTGGAGAAACGATACTTTAAAAGGTTGGTGGGCGTGGGCGTTTCATGGACAGCCGCAGCTGCGGAGATCCCTGTTGGGTCTTGCTCTCTGGCGGCACCGAACTGGCGCGGCGGCCTGCCACTAGGATCCCTTTGCGCCTCACTCCCTGGCAGCCGCGGGTGTGAAAACGGGCGGGCTTGTACTTGTACAAAAAAGTCACCTATTGTCTTTCATGTATCCCACTTACGGCCCTCACCCGTCCACCCACAACATGTCCACTGACTGCTGTACACGCTGTATGTAAACTCGTGTGCCTGAGGGTGCTCCGCCGCCGGTGGTGTCAATGAGAGAGGTTCGCGCCCATCACTCCTATCGCAGCTTTGACACCCGCCCGGACTCTATGTCGTTTCTGCATGCCTATGGGCCGCACGCACTGCTGTCTGTCTGTGCTGGAAGCGCGCCCGATATGTTGTTGTTGTTGTTGTTTCTGACATTAGCTCTAAAAAAAAAAAGATTGGTATGTGGGGAGTAGACGCAACGATTTGTTTGTTGTTTGTTTGTCTTCACATTAAACCGTATGTCAGTTGCTAAATGCCAAAATCTAGCAAAAGACTCTCAGCCCGTGGTCACGAAAGTGCTAGAGCCATCTGAGGATCTAAAGAACACGCACACATCTGACGAGAAAAAGGTATGCAAGAGCCCGAAGAGGTACACCTAAAAATCCCTGCAGCACCGTATGCGTGCCCAAAAACTGAACTGCACGTCCGTCCCACCGTTCGACTACAG